TTTCATTCCTTTTTAAGGCTGAATAATATTCCATAATATATATACCACATGTTGTTTATCCAGTCATTTGTCAATGGACACATGTTTTTTCAAATATATACAGATAGCTACAGAAATAAATATAGAAACGTGTGTATCCATGTATTAGTATACGTACAAGTATTTCCTGTCTCTGTCTGCTGAGAGAGCCTAGAAGCAATGACGCTGCAGTAACAATGAACACACCTAGCACACAGATCTTGGATTATAAATACCATTCTCTAAAAAAAGGACCCACGGCACTTTGGAGAAGTGGTCACATTACAGGCCTTGGGCAGAGAAAATGTGAGGTGAGCCTGAAGCATTTTATGGGGCCAGAGAATAAGAAAATGCCTTTAAAAGGTTGAGAGCCCGATAAAAAGGCACGGGGGGGGAGTTGATCTAGACTTTTCCAGATGCTTCGACTTTCATATAGAGTATATCCAACTTATGTTTGGCCCTAACTCATAACCTCATTGGACCCTTGGAACCTCAGAGAATCCTCATATATTTTCCAAGTTAGTTCGCAGTTCTGAAAGTGAGATCAACCTCATGGTTATAGTTATGGTGGATGCCAATGGGAAGAAAACCTCGTTGTGCCTGCTGTTACTCTGAACTGCCCAGGACTTTCTTAATGCCAGTCCTGAACGTGGCAAGCATCCTTGGCTACAAGCATACCTAAACGCCCGCCTGCTTCTTGGATTTTTGCCACATTCAAGTTGGATCAGGCCTTTTAGGGCAAGTGCATTTTAACTGCTATAACCAATCCATGTTTTATGGGCCATAAAGTTGTTATAGAGCAAGCAGAAAGAATATTGCAAAAGCTTTAAAAATGTGCAGCAAACTTATACCATGTGGTGGTGGTTATGCTGATAAATTACTCATTTCCTACAACTTACCATTCCTTCTTGTTGACTTGAGTAGGTGTCTTTATTTTATATTCATAATTTTAATATTTGCATTATAAGTTTGCACTGTTTGCCATGAATATAAACTATCTAGAAAAAGTCAGGATGTTGATTTGATGGATTCTTTATATTTTAGAAATATTGGTACCAGTTGTGTGATGATCTTTATTACAGCGTCAAATGTTCATATTCCTTTTGAAAAATGATCATTAATCTATATTCTTGTTATTGTGTTTGTCTTATTATAACCTTCCAAACATAAGTTTTACTCCTCTGTTTTTCTATCAAAACTCGTAAACATGGGTTTTGGTGGTAAGGTAACCTGCCAAAATGAGGCAAATTTCTTCATTGATCACACTCTGTTGTGAGGCATTTTATCTCTATAATCCTGGGATCTCATTACTAGGGGGAGAAATGGTGATCCCGCCTTACAAATAAAGAAGATTGGAACTTTGTGTGTTTCACGAAAATAACTGCTGAAAATTCAAATTTCACGTAGGGCCCTTTTGAACCCAGGGTTTAAGTGCTACAGATATGTGACCTTTTGACTTTACAGATACTTTCTTTCTCTGCCCTTCCCTAGACACCAACAGCCCCATTTCTTTAAAAGCGGTGCCTCTTTTTATTATTTAATTGTGTATTTACCTGTGGTGTTATCTAACTTTACATGTGGAGGGTTGTAGATAATCAGTTATTCTCTGTAACAGTGTAACTCCACATCTACCACAAGTGGAACGTCAGCTTTCAGGGAGAGACAGAGAAATATGGTGGTGAGAGGGGAAGTTTTAAAGGGGGTGTGGTTCTTAATATTTTGGTTTTCCTTGCCCAGTATTAGAAAATTGTTGTCTGTGTGACACTTTTCTTTAATGCTGTATGCAAGTAAAAAGTAAAATGGTCAACATCCACTAAATCAAGTAGTGGTGGTTCCAGGAGGGTGGCTAAAATTGAGTGGAATTATAGTGGAATACTTAAAATGTAGAACGGTGTTTCTGGAAAATCCGTAAGACTCACAGAGGATGAGTTTTAAGCACATAGGAATCACTTGTGGTGCTTGTTAAACCTATAGATTCCTTGTGCCCTGACCGCTGAGCCTTTAATCTAGTAAATCAGGATTAATCTGCAGCCAGTACTCATTCCAGGTGGTCACACTTTGAGGCAATGGATGCAGTGCTTTTGAAACCTTCATGTGCATGCAGGTGGCGTGGACATCTTGTTAAAATGCAGACAAGTTCACTTGGTCCGGGGCCGTGCCTGAGACTCTGCATTTCTAACAAGCTCCCAGGTGATGCTTTAGAAACTCTGGCTTCACAGCCCACCCTCCCATGGGGACCTTTGTGTTTCCTTCTACAAGTAACTCGCTACCTTTCTGGTTTAACTTGGACATTGGGGTTGGGTTTTAACCTCCTTTAAACCTTCTCCTTAAATAGAATTTTTAAATACTTGCTTATTTTTCTCATCTTCTCCTTTTGCTTGTTTTCCATGGACGTAGATGCGCACCAGTTGCGTCTTGAAGCGCCAGCAGCTGTAACAGAAGTTCCAGACCCCAGGACCACAGCCAGCCCTTCCAGCTCCCAAGACCTGAAGGCCATGGAGCTCTCTGACAGCGACCGGCCCGTCAGCTTCGGCTCCACGTCGTCCTCGGCCTCTTCCCGGGACAGCCATGGTTCCTTCGGCAGCAGAATGACCTTAGTTTCCAACAGCCACTTGGGCTTGTTTCCCCAGGATAAGGAAGCGGGGGCCATAAAGCTGGAGCTGATTCCAGCCAGGCCGTTCTCCAGCAGCGAGCTGCCAACGGATGGCCCAGCCGCGCCTCCGAACCTGCACCAGGGCAGTGAAAGGCAGCCCCGGGTCCAGCGGAGAGGGGAGCCCAGCGGGGCCACGAGAACGGGTGCAGAGTCTGCCACCAGCCCCAAGCTCCTCTACGTGGATCGAGTTGTTCAGGAAATTCTGGAGACCGAAAGGACTTACGTGCAAGATTTAAAAAGCATCGTAGAGGTAAGGCCCACTTTTTTGTTTTAAGTTTGCCGTGCAGGATAAATAGGCCTGCAAAATACAGAGCAAAGCCAGGTGTAAGGAATACATTGTGAATGTTTAAACAGATCATAACGTAAGGCAAACCCTAGGGGCGTACTCACTGCGTTAAAATCCTCTTAATATTTGCATTAGCGAATTATGTGTTAGAGGCAAGAATGATGATACCAATGCGGACACCAGTATGTTGTGTTAATAAATCCTGCGCCGAAGATCTCAGGGTTCTCGCAGATGATGGAGCCGGACCTCAAGGCTCCTGACTTGCAGGTGTCAGGTGTGTCTTCACTGTCATCACAGTTGTCTTCTGGTGTCTGGGAGCTTCTAAAACGACTCACAGCTGTGTCCCACCTCCAGAGACTGGGATCTCGAGGGCCTGTGGGGTGGCCTGGGTGGTGGGGTTCTGGGAGATCTCCGGGTGATTCTACTGTGCAGACAAGGTTGGGAACCGCTGTTCGATGCTGTTCTCTGTCTTGGTGTTTTGGGGAAGGTGGGGAAGGGTAGAGAAAAACTATGGGCTCTATCTGGTTTGGGGCATTTACTTGCTGTTCACTTTTATAGTAAACAAGTTTTCATAAATTATTGGACTCCATGCAAATTGAGCTCGGCTTATGTGCCAGATCGCATACTCTGGAAATCCGATTATTGATTTGACTTTGATTTATAGATGAGTTTTTACAGATAAAGAATTACCAAAGCAACTCAGCTGTTAACTCATTCTCAATGTTAAAAATATTAATATTTCAAAGTCAAATTGATATGTTATGAAGCTACACTTCCCTGTAATACACCAAATTTTTTCATTGGTTAGTGCCAACTTCCTGTTTTAGACTCTTAATCTAAAATATATTTCAGAGTATAGCAGAATATTTGCCAATGAGCATGTTCTTCACCAAATACATATATTCTTATAGCTTTAGAAAAAATATTCTAAGGCACAATTGTGTTGAGTTCCACAAATGATGGAACCAGACATTGTCTCCTAAAAATAGTTATGACATAAGTTCCCAGTAAAAATAGAAATCAATTGATGCTCAACCGAAACAATATGTGAGACCAAATGTAGAGTAAACCCGGCCAACTGGTTTTTTAATTTCAACAGTGATGTCATTTGTACTTGAGAAGAAATACCTGTGAAACCGCCAAAAATTTTGCAACCTCAGGAAATTAATGGTTGTCAAAGCTGTCTTTGGTCTATCCTTTTTTTTTTTTCCTTGGAAACTTCAAAACTCGCCATACTGAGAGAGAAACCTTTAGTTACTGAACTGGGATCCCATGATCACTCTTGTTTTTTCTGAGGCTGGTTGATAAACCTTGGGTAGGAAGAAATAAGGTAAAAGATGAATGAAAGAAAACAGATCAAAACAGAATATTTTTTGTTTAAGAAAATTTCGGTGGAAGTTCTATTTCAGGCTATGCGAACACTCTTGCATTTTTTTCTCTCCCCAGGAATTAACCATGTTTTACAGTAGGGGTTGGTGGACTTTTTCTATAAAAGGCTAGAGAGTAACCATTTTATGCTTTCTGGGCCCTGAGATCTCAGTCACAATTGCTCAGCTCTGTTGTGGTAACTCAAAACCAGCTGTAGACAGGGGCCGGCCCAGTGGCGCAGCAGTTAAGTGCGCATGTTCCACTTTGGCAGCCCGGAGCTTGCCGGTTCGGATCCCGGGTGTGGACATGGCACCGTCTGACAAGCCATGCTGTGGTAGGCGTCCCACATATAAAGTAGAGGAAAATGGGCACGAATGTTAGCTCAGGGCCAGGCTTCCCCAGCAAAAAGAGGAGGATTGGCAGCAGTTAGTGCAGAGCTAATCCTCCTCCTAGAAAAAAAAAAAAAACAGCCATTGACACTATGTCAATGAATGGGCGTAGAAGTTCAAGTAAAATGGGGTAAGGTTTGACCCAAGGGCCATAGTTGGCTGACCTCTATAGTAGACTATAAATTTGTGCCTATGTTTCATCAACTGTAAAATGGGACTAATAAATAGTATGTGCCTCGTTGGGTTATGATTATGACAATTAGACTAGATATTATTTGAAAAGCTTACACAATAGTGCCTGCCGTATGATAAGCAATTAAGGGAAACTGTCATCCTCACTAGCCTCCTCCCATGATGGTTGAGAGTGATCACCGTTTATGTCCAGGCATACCTCAGGGATATGGTGGGTTCGGTTGCAGACCACCACAATAAAGCGAAGATCACGATAAAGTGAGTCACGCGAATATTTTGGTTTCCCAGTGCATATAAAAGTTATGTTTACACTATACCATAGTGTGTTAAGTGTGCAATAGCATTATATCTAAAAAAACCAATGTATGCACCTTAATTAAAAAATACCTTACCGCTAGAAAATACTAACCATCATCTGAGCCTTTAGCCAGCCGTAATCTTTTTGCTGGTGGAGAGTCTCGTAAAAAACACAATTGTCTGCGAAGCACAATAAAACGAGGCATGCCAATATACTAGCATTTATAGGCTATGTTTTACCTTAATTCTTGCACAAAAATAATCAGGTCAGTCAATTCACTGCAGCAGAAATTTAATTAGGAAAAAAATTTAGACAGGTGATTCCAACATTATTTTGAATGCATTTGGGTTATTTCTGATGAATCCACTGAAGATCTGAGGTGGCACACGATCAGGGAGAGGAAGGTGGAGGGTGTTGGGAGAGAGGGTAATTGGGGAGAAGAGTCCACACACGGAGGGAGGTACCAAGGTAGGAAGAAGCAGATGCTGCTTTGTTCCAGAAGTCACCCGAATGCTTTGAGTTCTTTACCCTCTCTCCACCTGGGAGAATTCAGAACCTCTTCACATCAGGGGCTAGTTGGTGAGAGCCTCTCCACATACTTGTGCTGTGTGACCCTCTGTTTGTCAAGATTGCAGAATGGCTAGACCTGTTTTGTCTAGTTCTTTCCTTTATGAAGAGTAAGCACTTATTTTCCAGCTTGTGGCAACTGCCCAATAAAGACTGTTGTAATGGGTATTCTTTGAAAATACAAAATATCAATTCTTTAAAATGTTTCCCTTGATCCATGTCAACCTGTTTTTATCATTCTGTGGTTAACAACCTCCTGTGACAAGCTCTGACCACACCTAAAAGGCAGAGCTAGTTGGCCCTTTCTAGCAAGGATTTTTGCTTTTCCTTTTTTTTTTTTTTTTTTGAGGAAGATTAGCCCTGAGCTAACTACTGCCAGTCCTCCTCTTTGTGCTGAGGAAGCCTGGCCCTGAGCTAACATCCGTGCCCATCTTCCTCTACTTTATTTGTGAAGCAAGGATTATTTCTTAAAAAAAAAAAAAAAAAAAAAAGTCTAATTGTTTGTAGAGATAACTAGTAAGTTAGTTTTCATTTACACAGTAGCACAACTTCAGACTTTGTGTGCTCTGCTTTATTAAATCTTATCTGATATCCTTCCATAGTCATTCTCGGTTGAAGTAATTTCCCCCGTAAGTGGTACATTTTATCTGTATTCTGTATGATACAGAGTCCTCACAGACTAGATTTAGATTTTGTTTTAGGATTTATCAGCAAAGATTTTTGTGAAAGATCATTGATGTACACTAGTATCAAAGATGTTAACACAATGTGCTGTGACATCTTCAATATAGTCCCAAATACCATTAGAGTAGCTTCTTTCTTTTTTTTTTTTTTTTCTGCTTTTTCTCCCCAAATCCCCCCAGCACATAGTTGTATATTTTTGTTGTGGGTCCTTCTGGTTGTTCTATGTGGGATGCCGCCTCAGCATGGCTTGATCCAGACCAGCGAAACCCTGGGCCGCTGAAGCAGAACTCGCAAATTTAACCGCTCAGCCACGGGGCCGGCCCCAGTAGCTTATTTCTGAGAAGATGTCCTTCTGACCTCATTTGGGCAATAGGATTTCCCAGGTGTTGCTTATACACACAAAGAAGGTTGTATGCCTTTTTTTCTCCATGTATAGAGACACTGTATTAAAATAATCCCAAGTATAAGGTAATTTTCCTTTCCCATGCCATTTAGGGACCCAGAAATTAATTCCTAATGCTTTCTGAAAATTTACCTAAAAAATGTTGTTCTTATTCCTCTTGCTCTTCATTCCTTTAATTCCTCCAGACTCTTCTCTCTGGGTCCCCTGTCTCCCCCCCCCCCCCCCCCCCCCCCCCCCGCCTCCTCCATCCTCTGCTCCTTTGCCCAACATCCTAGTCATTTTCTTTTGGACGCTTGACATTTGAGAGAGAGAAGAGGTCTTCCCCATCACCCCTCACTCAAAGGAACAATGGAGCTGTTATCTTCATTTCTATATATGGCTCCTAGTAGCATTCAGAGATAAAATGAGATAATGAACATGAAAGCAAGTTTCAAAAGCTAGAAGTGAAATAGCCAATGATATAATTTGTGGGGGGAGAGAGAAATCCATAGTTGGAAAGTAGAAAATAAGGGTCTCTTTCATGTTTAATGGGACCCTAGATTGACTGAGCAGGGACTCTCATGAGTAGAGTGGGTGTCTTTAATCTTTCTAAATGATCTATAAAAGAGCCTTTGAGAACCCCATAAGATTTGGCCCCGGATATAGTTCATGGCCTGTTTCAACCTTTTAGGAAAGTTTTTAAATAGTTCATAATGTTATATAATGCTGTGTAATTAGAAGTTACATCCTTACTACAAAATGGCATCTTTGAACTATAAGAGATGCTAAATTAAATCATTTAGGGGATGTCGAGGATATTGTAGTTAGTGGAAAAAAATGGGGAAAATATTAAGCGTAACATCACTTCATTTTTTTCTATCATATTCTAGAGAGCCTAACATCCTTTTCAAGCAGCGTTATCTATACAGTGTGTTAAAAAGCTAAGGAGTGAGTATTAAAGCTTTAATGTTTAAACTTTAAAGACCCAGGGCCCTAAGCATAGCTTTGTTAAAAGCATTCAGTGTTATTAAAAAGCTATAGCTAAGAAAAGATTAGAATGGTGATCTCCCAGTCCCCAGCTCTT